ATTTAAAAATGATAAATAAAAAAATTTTAAATGATAAATAATCTAGGCCTATCGTACTATATCAACAAAAGCAATCTTTTAAAAATTAATTTATAAAATTAATTAAAATATTATTATTTTTGAAGGAAACATCGTAACTTCCAGTCTAAAGCGCATTTGATTTTAGCATTGTTTATAATTTGCGCTATATATTCTCAATTAATATTATTATTATTAATATTATTATTATTATTATTATCATTATCATCATCATTATTATTTTGCCTGCAAATATTTTTTAAGTCGGAAGATTTTCTCTGCAACCCTATCAAACACGTTTAGGACTCCTGTGATTTATTTAACAGTGCCCGGCCTCTATACAGGTTTGTGAAATATATATTGCTGTTGGACTACACGCACTCACCAACCCGTCGCTACGTCATGGAAAGACCGTTTTTCCTCTGCTGTCCAGGGCCACCGAGAGTTGGGCAGGGGGAAAGGTCCCCGTGGCCCAAGCTTACCAGGGGGGCACATAGAAATTGAAGGTAGCATTTTTTTTTCAATATTTCTTTCAAAAATAATAATTACTATCATGTGCCCTTAAAAATGTCCCCTATGAACCCCTCCAAATTGACAGGACCTCTAAAAAAATGTTTTGTGCCTTCCGCGCAGTTTACTGTTGCAGTTTCCCCTCTTGTCAGCCCTGATGCTGTCTTATTCTTCTTATATTGTTTAAAAAAAATAATGATAAAGTTGTAATACAAGATAGAGTTCTCCACACAAAAAAGTGTTCCACCGAAATGCATGGTGGGAATACAAACAATGGGACGCCCCCTACAGTTGGATCTAAAAAAACTTCTGCCAAACTTTCGTTACCAAGCCGTCGCGTATTTTATTATCAATTGTTCAATTAAAAAAGTGTACACCGCGATGCGCTATGGCGACGTACGGTATTGGAGGGCGTTGCTGAGCAGTAAATTGCAACACATTTTACAAACAGGGTCATAATTTATATCGATTTCCAAAGGATTGAGAAAGTTAAATATTGCACTGACATTAAACAAAAAATTAGCTATATATATTATAAATATATATTAACATTTTGTTATTTTAAACTTGACATATGAATTAGCCTAGGCCTATTTACTTGCGTAGCTAAGATATTGAAGAAAAATAAATAAATAATTAGACTAGCCTAAAATAATGAAAGAAGTACTAAATATTACTCGTTCGTTTAATAACGCTAGTATTGTATACAGTTAGTTATTAATAATAATAATAATAATAATATTTATGAATGACGTGAAAATGGAGCTCTTTTGGTAAAGGAAATTTAATAATATTAATACAGGTCTAACTCTAATTACTTAAGACCACTTTTTGGACCGGGATTTCCATGGTCTACCTACCTAGCAT